CACACACACACACACACACACACACACACACACACACACACACACACTAACCAATTCTTACTCTGTTCTTCAGGACCCATGCCTTTCCATTCTAAGCTTCTACATAAGCTGTATTCTGGTTGGTAGGATAGACTTTCTCAGTCTGAAATAGGATCACAGTGCACATTTCCAGAAAAACAGTCTCTTTCCTTCAAAGAAAATTCCTATGAACATATGTACGTCTTTGAAATTTTAAACAGATGGGAGAGGGAATTCTTGTGATGTTCCCCCAAACTATGAAGTGAAGGATTCTTTGCCCCTGTGGCTGTCACAGACTGGGATAATTCTGACAGATTTAAGGACCACATGCCACATGCTTCGGGAGTCTGAACATTTTTGGCATGCCCTAGTGTTTCCAAGAAACCCAGATGCCACACTAGCATTCTGGATGACCTTGAGCCAAATACCAGTCCCGTTATGATTCGTTTTTTTACTGGCTACAAACTGAGGGAGAGGGGTGGGATACATGATCTGCACCGTCTCTACAAGTCGAGATTTCATTTGTAAGTTTCAGCACTTTATTGAATCATGAGCAGTTTTAAATAAACATTCTTTGTGTTTAAGAATGAAGGTTATGTGGTCTGCGCTGCCACAGGAAACTGTGGAAGTCCATGATCCATGCTGCCACTAGCTGCTTTGACAAGGAAGCTTCTTTTGCAGAGGTATCGGTGACTGCAGACTCATAATGGAGAATGAGACACTGAAGGCTTCTGTGACAACCAACCCCTACATTTCCCCATGCCCAAAAGAAACAATTCAAACAGAAAGCTATTGGAAAAATTCTTAAAAATTGTGATAATGATGGTAGAGTGTAGCTCTTCATAGTCTTCCTAGTTGATAGCTTTTGGTGGGGGTGGGGATGAGGAAGGATTCAGTTTTCTTTAAGGAGCTGGCCACTGGGAGTTTGGACATGCTCCAATGAGTATATGGGAGATACAAATTGGTCTTGGTGGGGTTTTTTTGTTGTTGTATTTGTTTGGGAGGGGGGCACAAGAGTGGGAGGGACCTGGGAGGAATGGGAAGCAAATGTGACCAAGATGTATTGTATGAAATTCCCAAATAGTTAAAAAAGGTATTATGTGGTGGAAAAATGAATGAAGAGTAGAAAAAGCCTTAACGACGTGTGTGTGTGTGTGTGTGTGTGTGTGTGTGTGTGTGTATGGTTTTGTAAAACAAAACAGAAAAACATTATCGACAAGCAATACGATACTGCGATGGCTTATACCCTTGGTTCCCTCTTTAAAGTTAAAAAAGAACTGGCAAGATTTTCTTATGGCTTAAGGAGGAACAGGCTGGTGTAAATGGAGGAATTGAAGGAGGCAGTTGCATTGTACATCTTTGTTCTATTTTTTTTTATTATCTTTTGCAGTGCTGGGATCATGTGCATGCTGGGTAAGCATTCTACTACTCAGCTACATCCCTGGGCTTTTGTACCTCTTTCCATTCAACTGCTTTTTATATTTCCAGAGATGACCAACACACACAGGCGTGTTCCTGGGAAGTTGGTTCACAAAGAACTTGATAAAGAATGATAGTAGAGGCACCAAACCATGTAACTTCATGGGTCAGCAGAGAGGAAAAGAAATACACGTTTTTAATCCTTTGTTATTTCACAGCTGCAGAAATCATTGAAATCAGGTGGAAAGAGAGCCTTGATGAAAAAAAAAAATATGTGTGTGTGTGTGTGTGTGTGTGTGTGTGTGTGTGTGTTTGTGCTTATGAGGGGCATGTAAAATCCATATCAACTGCTCCTTAAATTACTTGGCTTATGAAATGCAGCTTATTTCATGTGCTTTATAGCTCCAATTATAAGTACTATGCTTGATCCTCGGCTGTCTAATAAGTTCTAAAACCCATTGCCATGTATACATTGAGGCTACAATCCCACGTCTCAGGAGCAGCTCCGAGTAAAACATTGAATGTGGAAGGAATGCTGAGGTAAGCTAGCTCCAGGGAGACCAGGAAGCCCTTCATGGTGGACTTTGACTCAAGGTCTATGGTTCATGATGGTTTTGACAAATCTTTAGACTTGGATGGTGAAGACTGTGTGAAGTTAATTTTTGTCCTTTGACCGTCATGTGTAGTCAGCCTTTCCTAGCTTCTTGTTCTTTTCTTTCACAGGCTGTCCTGGTTACTTTTTGCCAACTTGACACAAGTTAGGTTTTTTTTTTTTTTTTAGAAGGCATCTCAATTGAGGAAATGCCTCCATAGGCTGGTTCGTAGGCAAGCCTCTGGAGCATTTTCTTTTTATTGATGGATGTGGTAGAGTTCATCCCATTTCCAGTGGCGCCACCTTTGGGTAAGGGGTATAAGAGAAGGAACTGAGCAATCCAGGGGCAAGCAAACCAGTAAGCAGCATCACTCCTTCATGGATTCTGCTTCAGTAACTGCTTTCAGATTCCTGTCTTGGATTCCTGCCTTGACATCTTCTTGTGAGGGAATGTGACCACAGAGTTGTAAGATGAAATCTTCCTCCCCAAGTTGCTTCTGCCCATCTTTAATCATAGTAATAGAAACCTTAACTAACACACAGGCATTTCTGCTGATTAAAATCCCAGCACGCTGAACTCTGTCTGCCCCCAGTTGTATGCTGAGCTTTCTTCCTCCCAGGACTCCACTAACATACCTTGTATAATTTTTCCAGGCACAGACTCATATGTTTGGCATGTTGCATTTGGATCAAAAGAGTGAAAATAAAGATACATATTTGGTTTAGTTTAGAGAAGCTTCAAGAAGCATGTGTGTGTGCATGTGTGTGCATGTGTGCATGTGAGTGTGTGTGCATGTGTGTGCATGCATGTGTTCATGTATGTATGTGTGCATTGTGCATGTGTGCGCGCACGTGTGTGTGTGTGAAGAGAACTGGGATGAAAGTGATTCACTATGTGCTTCTAACAGTTTTTTTTAAAAATTTTCATTCAACGAATGTATAATAATTTGAAAAATAAAATCGCTGGGCGGTGGTGGCGCACGCCTTTAATCCCAGCACTTGGGAGGCAGAGGCAGGCGGATTTCTGAGTTCAAGGCCAGCCTGGTCTACCGAGTGAATTCCAGGGCAGCCAGGGCTACACAGAGAAACCCTGTCTCGAAAAACAAACAAACAAACAAAAAAGAAAAATAAAATCAAATGCTGAGATTCAAGGTACAAATTTTTGAAAAAATCAAAGTCTTTGGGGACAGCATTACATTTGCCCCATAGAAAAGGGACATGGGTTGCTCTGTGCTTAGTTAAATGATACTTAAGATTACGTGACTTTCATGGCTAGAGAGATAGATCAGTCAGTAAGGTACTTGCCATGCAACCATCAGCATCTGACTCTGAGCTCAAGAACCTATGTAGAAACGTAGGTGTGGAAGCATACCTTTGTAATCGTAACACTGGGAGGCAGAGGATTGGCTTCTTTGGACTGGATACCAAGACAATCGGGCTTATTTGGTGAGTTCCAGGCCAGTGAGAAATCCTGTCTCAAGAAACAAGCTGGACAAAGCTCAAAACACACCCTGAAATTGATCTCTGGTCTCCACATGCCTACCTACACACCTTCACACAGGCTATTTGAATGGCTTAAAAAAAAACTTTGCCAAGTTCCTTTTCTTTTCTTTTCTTTTCTTTTCTTTTCTTTTCTTTTCTTTTCTTTTCTTTTCCTTTCTTTTCTTTTCTTTTCCTCTCTCTCTCTCTCTCTCTCTCTCTCTCTTTCTTTCTTTCTTTCTTTCTTTCTTTTGAGACAGAGTCTCACTATGTAACTGACAGGTCCCAGACTTGCTGTGTAGACCAGGTTGGCCTCAATCTCTCAGAGATCCTCCTATCTCAATCTCCTGAGTACTGGGACTAAAGGTTTGTACCAAAATGCTTAGCAACTTTCCTTACTTTAGCATTCCATGACACTTTCCTTCGCCTGAACCAGATAATGAAACTGATAGCTGCAGAATGCTGATTCTTTTCCATTATTTATCTATCATTTTTTTCTTGGTAAAGAAATCTTTTTCTTTATTCCCTACTGCCATTTACTTCTGAACACTACTATGGACTTGGTACTTTTTAGTATATATGTCTTTTCCCACAGATTGGATGTAAGATTTATTATTGAACATGATTTGGCGGGGTACAAGAGAGCACAGCGGAAGTCCTCAGGAAGGCAGGGCTCTCCACTTGTTAAGGAAACCATATGTATATTTCATACCACAGCCATCAGAAGTGAGCAGTGTCTCATCAACCGTTTCTTCAAATTCATCTGCATTAAACTTGGTGAAACCCCACTTCCTTGGGATGTGGATCTTGTGGTGGCCAGAGAACTTGAGCCTCAATCATGAGGCTCAGTGTTCCTTATTCTGGAGCTTGGTGCAGAATGACCTAATGACCAAGCTGGCCAATGTGAATCATGGCCACTAGGGCTGCCCAAAGGCATCACACATACCTGTCTAGAGCCTAGACTGGGGTCAGCATTGAGATCAGAGACTTGAATAACTGCCAGAAAAGTTGTCTCCAAGGTCCTTCAGGGCATCCCATATAGGCAACAGGCTACATATACTACCAAGGAGACTGCTGTTTGCAACCATTCCACACCATGTTTCCACGGGGAAAGGACTTTTATATATGTCTAAATTCCTTATCATAATTCTTGTTGTTACTACAATTCTTTTATATTGTACTCTGCCTTTGTGTCTGTTCCTCAGAGGACCCCACTAACACACACCAATTCAAACCTCAGTGTTAGCTAAGAGTGGATTGTCTGGGGAAAGAACTCGGTGAGTCCAGCAAGGAGGGGAGGGGGACAACTTGAAATGCTTAATGACATGAAATTACTGCAAGGAATCCTAACACTTGGTGTGCTAAATTAAAAAAAGAAAGGTGGGGTAGAACCTGACCTAAATTGGGGCAACAAGACCTTTCTTATTGAGTTTGGCTTTTAAACTCAGCACTCAGGAGGCAGAGACAGGTAGATTCTGAGTTCAAGGCTAGCCTGGTCTCCAGTACTGTCTCTAAGAGGAAGAGGAAGAGGAAGAGGAGGAGGAGGAGGAAGAGGAGGAGGAGGAAGAGGAGAAGGAGAAGGAGAAGAAGAAGAAAAGGAAGAAAAGTACTTCAGTTTTTCTTGTAGCTCAAAACCATCTGTAACTCCAGGTCCAAGTGATCTGATGCCCTCTTCTGACCTGTAACACCAGGAAAGCAACCGGTGCACAGACAGGCATGCAGAAAAACCATATATATATTTTGAAGGAATTCTTGGTCAAAAAAAATCTATCTTGGGTAGGTCTCTCCAACTCTCCAAACTTTGCCTAGCAAAGGACATTACACTTATTCAAAGCAGTTGTGAGGGTTAATTAACAATTTTGTAATTAGCATATGTTCAGTACTTTTTGGCCACTATCACCTGTGGCATCCTTCCGGCAAATCGCTCCAATCAGCTGTGTGCACATGTGCTTATGATTAATTTTTTTTTTGTTTTTTTTCGAGACAGGGTTTCTCTGTATAGTCTTGGCTGTCCTGGAACTCACTCTGTAGACCAGGCTGGCCTCGAATTCAGAAATCCGCCTGCCTCTGCCTCCCAAGTGCTGCCCGGCTGATTAATTTTTCTTAAGTTAATGTGCAGAGGCTTGTTTTAAACGTAGCCGTGAACTATAGTCTTTCTAGGTGGAGTTAAATGGACACAATCTCTAAAGGCTGTGAAACTGAAAGCCTTCAGGGGAACCGTAAAACATTTAAGGAAGTAACACACATGCATGCACGCATGCGTGCACATTTTTCCAGGGTTGACTTAGAACTTTTATTGTTCGGAAAAGGTGTGCTAAGTAGCTAAAGCTTCTCCAGCTCCTGCCTAAGCCTTCTTGAGGAGGGATTGCAGGCATTTGACACTATTCTCTGCCGAGGATTTTACATGAGCGATACCCCAGTACAATACTGAATGGTTGAATCCAAATTTATACTTATATTTCTTACCTTAAAGATGAGGATAAAGTCTTTAAGATACGAGCACATTTCCTATGCAGTTGTAAATATGTTTTATTTGGGCCCAGGAGACAGCACATTTATGCGGCATAAAGCACAGTATTTGTGACCCAGCTGACCCTTCCACCTGGTGGCGGTGTACTCCACCACAAGTTAAAAGTAGGGATCATGTGTAAGTTCCTGACTAAATTTTTGAAACTATATTGGTTCAGCTCTGCAGAAGTATAGAATGGTGCTCCAACAGGAACATGTTGTCACAACAAAGGCAGTAGATGTATCAGTTTTTTTTTTTTTAAAGAACAGTCATAACAAATATTTGCTGAGCGCCAAGCACGGTTTGCGCTTCTGGTGTACAGCCGCGGACGAGACAGATTCCCGTTTACTCCGTGCAGATATGCCTAGATCGTTCGAAAAGAGTTCTAGGACGTTCCTTCCAAAATCAATGTAATGTGTTTCCAAAAGTACGGTCACGTGGCCAATGAAACAGTGACCCGGGTTCAGACCCAGTGCAGCCGACCTAAAAATTCACTTTTGCAAAACTCTTTATTTCCACCCTCTAGAGCTGCATCAGGCGTGGCTTTCCAGACTGTCAAAGAAGCAATGCAAAAAAGTCCTCCTCTAATTTTTCTGCCCGGAAACTGAACCCTCGTGAGACAAAGGCGCATTTGTGACTCTTCTGTCCAGGAGACACTTTTTTTTTGCTACTCCTCAGGGCAGCGGGTCATCCCCGAACCAAGGAGAATATTTGCAGATGGACCACTAGTGATCAATCCTCGGAGAAGCACGCATGCGCCCCCTCGTGGTGCGGCGCAGTCCTAGCAGCCAGTCCGTAGCCGATCCGTCCTACGGAACGTCCGCTGCACGTTCCAGGTTTCCGGGGGAAGAGGGAAGAGAAGGACCTAGGCGCCGAGCTCCTTTGGCTGCCTCGGAAGCCATGGCTACTGCAATGGGAAGGCTGATGCTTTGGCGGCCCGGCCGGGGCGGCGGGGCCCGCTGGAGTGAGTTTTTGCGTTCCCAGTCTGGGAAGACAATCTGGGGTGCAGGAATCGATGGACGAAAAGGGATGTGGGCATGGGCAGCTCTTGTGGGGTTTTTAGGAAGGAGCCCCAGTCTCCTGCAAACATGTCCCCATCTCTAGGGAGTGAATACTTGTGATTGCCTAGCCAAGTCCCTTGCGTTGGGGTTTGGAGGAAAAGTTCAGCATTTCTCATGCTAGATATTGATAGTTTGAGCATGGGATTTCCGCTTTCCTGGGGCTTTCTTGTCCCCTCCCATAGCCTTTCCAATTAAAACTTTGCTCTTCTTTCCACCGTGTCTGGTTTTGGGACGCCGCTGAGAAAATCAGTGGTGATATGAGACTAAATCAGACCCCAGCGTTTTTTCGTTGTTGGATCCTAAATTATTAACGTTATAAGATGGTTCAAGTTTGCCTCCATCGAATTTTTGACGTATGTTCTGCAAAATTCTACCGCTTTCCACACCTGTTACAGGGCCATAGTAAGCTACTCGTTTATTCAATCTTTGATTTCTTCATAGGATTCATAGCGACATCGCCAGCTGCCGAGCTGTCACCCACGGAGCTGATAGAAATGCGGAATGATCTGTTTAATAAAGAGAAAAGTAGGCAGTTATCGTTAACTCCCCGAACAGAGAAGATTGAAGTTAAGCATGTTGGGAAGACTGATCCTGGCACCATCTTCGTGATGAATAAAAACATTTCAACTCCTTACAGTTGTGCTATGCGTAAGTAGCAGAACAGCTTTGACCATTTTACATGAGCTACGCAGAACACTGCAGAGGGGAATATGCTGTAATTACTTGGCGAAGCTATAGAATTTATTTGCAGCCACATTGACACCAACTATCCCCTTTGCTTTGTGGTACTGTGGATATTGTAGCATTTCTCTGGTGTAGAGGTTGTCTTCAAGTTTGCCTGAATATGACTAGATTAAGTAGATTAAGTACAGGTCTCATTAAAGTATTTTGAAGGTTTTTTTTTTTTTTTTTAGTTTTCATTTTTCTACTTTTTTCTTTTTAGTTTTTTTTCTAATTGATTATATGTCTCATCCCTTCCTACTTGTCTCCTGTGTTGTGGTTTTATTTAGTATAGGTACGAAATGTATGAACGGAAACGTAAGTATAGTGAATGCTAACGTTAGTTGTTTTGTTTCTATTGTTAGAGAGATCCTTGGATGTCAAGGTACTGAAGAGATTTGGATAGGGCTTCCATAGATATGATATTTAAATTGAAATATCTCCCAAATAGTATATAGGGATGGCTGGCTGTTGTTTAGTTTTTAAAGGACTCGGTAATAATGCCATTCAGTTAATTGACAGCATTGGTTCCAGATAAGGCATGTGCACTCAGTCTCACTCCACTCTGGCAGTTAAACAAGCACTGATGATAATTACTCTGTTGATTTTCATGTATTTCGTAGCATGTGCTGTGTGGTAGACAGTAGAAGACTATAGAGGAGAGTAAGACAAGCCTAAGGCCCTAATGGAACTTTGTACACACCATATGCAGAGATGAAGTTTCTGAGCCACCCCCATCACGCCCTCTAAGACCTCTGTTACAGAACTTACGTACTTTTTGATATGTTAGACTCTAGTTTGATAATTTTTGTGAGTATGTATAAAATATGTATTCAGGGTTAGAATTTTGTTAGGTTAGGTAATGGAACAGATTAGAGGTGATTAGTTTACAACGAATTCACATAATTTTACAATGGTAACTATAGTATTTAATTTGAAATGTCTGTGTCATGGGATAATGGAAGAAAAGGTGGTTTGGGAACAAGACTCTAGGATAGTTTAAGGAAATTTTTGTGTGTGTATAGATATTGTACTTGGTGGTTTTTGTGTGTCAACTCGACACAAGCTAGAGGCATCAGAGAGAAAGGAGCCTCCGTTGAGGAAATGCCTCTATGGGATCCAGCTGTAAGAGATTTTCTCAATTAATGACCAGTGGGGGAGGACTCAGCCTATGGTGGGTGGTGCCATCTGTGGGCTGGTAGTCCTGGGTTCTATAAGAAAGCAGGCTGAGCAAGCCATGGGAAGCAAGCCAGTAAGCAGCACCCATCCATGGCCTCTGCATCAGTTACTGACCCCCCAGGATCCAGCCCTGCTTGAGTTTCTCCAGTGATGGATTATGATTCTGAAGTGTAAGCCAAATAAATCTTTCCATCCTCAACTTGCTTTTTGGTTATGGAGTTTGGTTGCAATAATAGAAGCCCTGACTAAGACAGATGTATTTTCTTTTAAATTGTGTGTGCTTCAATCCATGTATTCATGTTGTTTCTCTTTGAATATTTAATTATAGCTCTTTGAAAATTATTTTGTTAATTGGTAGATTAAATTCAGACTAGACTTAACTTTAATAAATATTGTTAAAGGTTTTGGTAATTTTGTTAAAAATGCTTTGCATGTTGATTTTTAAAAAATTTGTGTATATATATGTCATATATATGTGCATAATGTGCATATATATATGTGTGTATATATATATACACACATATATATATATACATATATATACATATATATATATATTCATTGTGGATTTTTTTTACGCTTCGATCATAAATCACTTTTCCATCCCTAGATCTGAGTGAGTGGTACTGCAGTAAGTCCATTCTGGCTCTTGTGGACGGACAACCATGGGACATGTATAAACCTTTGACCAAGTCTTGTGAGATTAAATTTCTTACTTTCAAAGACCCTGACCCAACAGAAGTGAATAAGGTATTTTCTTGTCTCCTCCAGTTTTTTCTTCTTCTAAATCAAACCTATGTTCTATGGAGTATATAGTCTAAAAATATGACCAAACCCTTATGTGGTATTCTACTAGATAGTGTTTTACTGGTTAGCTTAGGTCAAAATACTAGTGGTATCAATTTGTCTGTGTTTGGATTGAGAAAACTATTGGGCATGTCATTTGTGCTCATAACTCTTGATAGCCCTCTATATCATTGAGAGTTCCACTCCTACTGACATAACTTTGTTCTAAAATCACTATCTTCAGTGGATGATTTTAGTAACTTTTTGTGTCTGTTCCATCCTCAACCTCCTTATTTTTTACTGCTTAAAACATCACCTTTTACAATTCTATTGAGTTTTATTAGTGACTTTACAGGGTCTATATGTCTTTTATCCCTGAAGAACCTGCCTTTGTGGTAAAGCTGACATAGCTTTCTGGTGCCTGCATGATCGGCCTCCAGCCTGCTGCTTCAGTGTTACCACCCACAGGATCTTCTCTCCCTCTCCCTTGCTAGTACTTGGTGGTTCACACTTTATTATCCTCCCTGCTTTGCTGATGCTCTTCCTTCAATGCAGATCACTTAATTTCCCCTTTAAAATTGTGTTTTTATCTTATGGTTCAGTTAAAGCCGTCTGCTCTGCGGAACCTACATCTGCTTGAAAAACTTCTTTAGTCTCTAGCATCCCTTGGCTGGTTTCTCTAGATACAGTATTTTTGTATTGTTGGATGCACTAGATTCCTGCTTCTGTAAATATAGAGATAATTCCTTCTTGGATCTAGTTCTTGACTTCAGATGTTAATAAACATGTGTTGAAATGATATACTTAGGGGCTGGAGAGACAGCTCAGTGGTTGGGAGCACTTGCTGCTCTTGCAGAGGACCTAGGTTCAATTCTCAGCACCCATATGGTAGTTAACCCCCACCTGTAGGAACTACAATTTGTGGGACTTCTGGCCTCCTCAGACACTCATATGCAGGAACACTTAGATACACGTACAATGTAAAAAAGAAGAAATGACAAACAAGAAGATGATAGAATCATTAGCAGTGGTAACACTGAGCATTTATTATGTACGCATTACTGGTCTAAGTGACTTATAGGTGGTCATTTAATCTCAAACTCCAAAGAGTAGGTGCTTTTCTTCCCATTTTCCTGTGAATAAATGATAAAGAGAGCTTCCACATCTTGACTAAGGTTACTGGTCATGAAGTTCTAAAGTCTGGATGTGAACCTACGTATTTTGGCAAAAGCACAATAGGTTTTGATTATATTAGTGGCATGCTTCCAGTGGGAGAATGGGCAGGTGTTGGGAAAACATGTACTAAGTGAAGCGTTGGTTTAAGTTTTAATTTGTAGAGACTGTGGTGAGTCAGTGTGTTGCACTGTGTGTCTCTTTCTTTAGGCTTATTGGCGTTCTTGTGCCATGATGATGGGCTGTGTAATAGAAAGGGCATTCAAAGATGACTATGTGGTCAGCTTGGTCAGAGCACCCGAAGTTCCTGGTAATGTATACATCAGTATTTATACTTTGAAAATCTGTGAATGTTTTGGTATTTATTTTTGATTATAGAGTTTATTTCTGATTTTATCTAATATAAGACTATATGTACTTCATGTAGTATAGATAATAAAATTACTCTGTTAGGATGAAGTGTAATTTGATAAGTCAGTAATTAAGAATAAAATTAGTTACTCTTGAATACAGATGTCATGGAATTACACTGTGATAGTGGTTTGTTTGTTTGTTTCATTTTTAAGACCATTTCTAAATTGAATTTGTGGGAGGGTGAGGAAGTGGGAAGATGGGTTGGCTGTTGAGAAGAGCTGCACTTACTTAGGTAAATCCAGCCTTCATATACATGACCAGAGTGGGGTGCCATGTTAATGAGGTTACAGAGGTGCAAGGTTACAGATAGTCTGTCATCTTGTCAAAATGAGAATTTCCCATTAGTATGGATAGGAGGAGCAATGTGCAAAATTAAAAAAAAATACATATTTTGTGCCAAAATACATGAAAGAAGCACAGATAATGGTTGTAAGAAGAAAACCTACAAAAACAAAGATCTCTAGGAGAGATGATAAAGAAATTGAGCATTTCCTGTGTGCTTAGCCATTTACATACGCTGCTCTGGTGCCTTGCTCAGCTTTCTTCTAGCACCCAAGAGCACCAGCCTTTTGTAGTTTTTGTGTCTAACATTCATTTGAGATCCCTGTAGTGATAATGTTCCCGAAGAAAATGTCAGTGATTAGAAAAAAAGGGTTCTTTTCGGGCTGAGAAGATGAACGAATGTTGTAATGGGGGTTTTGTGATTTCCTAGCAAGCAACCAGGTAATGAAAATGGCTTCCTAGTCTGCAGAGTCAGGGGCAGCTGTTCCCTTTCCCTTTTATGATTAGCTAATCAGTTGTTGCAGGTTAGTAACTTTTGCCCTAACTGATTTGCCTTTGCTCTTTCTTTCTACCTGCTGTTGGATTTACAGTGATAGCTGGGGCCTTCTGCTATGATGTCACTTTGGATAAGAGACTGGATGAGTGGATGCCTACAAAAGTAAGTGTGCCCTCTGGAATGTCATTCTCTGCCAAGATAGTGCTGCTGAGAGTGCTGAATGGGCCTGCACACTGACGATACTTAAGACGGTCTCTGGAAGAGAATTACCTATCATCTGTCTCTCTGTCATCAGTCTACCATCTACCTATCTCTACCAGTCTACTGGTGATTTTTCATCTTATTTCTGATACATATGTGATACATATGATTGTGTTAGGACATGCACAATAGTGAAGTCAGACGTTGTAGTTTTATTCTTGCTTGGCTTTTTCTTTTTTCTTTTTTCAGTCTTTTGTTGTTTTGTTTTGTTTTCTCCTTGAGACAGGGTTTTATACTATAGTATAGCCCTGGCTGTCCTGGAATTAACTATGTAGATCAGGTTGCCATCAGGCTCCTAGAGATCTGCCTGCCTCTGCCTCTGCCTCTCTGCCTCTCTGCCTCTCTGCCTCTCTGCCTCTCTGCCTCTCTGCCTCTCTGCCTCTCTGCCTCTCTGCCTCTCTGCCTCTCTGCCTCTCTGCCTCTCTGCCTCTCTGCCTCTCTGCCTCTCTGCCTCTCTGCCTCTCTGCCTCTCTGCCTCTCTGCCTCTCTGCCTCTCTC